CGACATTTGTCTGTAAATCCATAGTAACAATTAACTCGAACAGAAAAAAAGAACTATGGATGAAAGTAATGAGTGCAAGTTCCAGAAGGTACGGAAACTAGAAAAGCTGACTGAATTTTGAACGCTCTGGGTTATTACACCTACAAAGGCGTCAAAGGCGGTGTTCAAGATAAAAAGACAGCCCATTAGAAACCAATAGAGGTGGTCTGTGACGGAGCGATGAAGAAAAACCCACGAAAAAAGACCTGAAACTCGAAAAATGGGACCCCTTTGCCAGTTGAACTGCGCGTTAGAGAATCTGTTCGGTGCTGACCTCATCAAAGCCAACGGTCTCTCTGCTGAACGGCTGGAATCAGACTGCGAGGGCCATCCGTGTAGCGGCGCGGGTAAGGGTCAGCTAGACCGCGGAAGGGCGTATCCCCGCTGCAAATCGCGCATCTTCCGCCCCTCAGAGACCCGCCCGCCTTCCCACTGGGTATGTTCCCCATTCTTCGACCTCCGACCATAGCATGGAATCTTCCGCTAATTATTATTATTATTAATTACTTACCTGTCGTACACAATCGCCTTGTCGGTTTTTACACGAACTCCTTTGAGACGGTTCGACAGATGGTTTCTCTGTGCCCTGTTCATGGCCATATCTTTCAATTCATTTGGTGTCGCTTATATTACCACCGCCTGAACAAACAATTAAAGCGCTTTCACATGTGCGGGGATTGTCTGACTACATCAAAATACGCTGTCCAAGACGCGTCGAAGGCCTAGAAACGTACGAGTGAGATCCAGATGTTCAACTCGTAGGAAAAGAGCGTTACACTATAAAACGTACGGTTCAGTAGTATAAAGAGAAACGCGTTCCAAAACGTGTCGCCTCCCCTCTCGGAGTTTTGTGGACAGTGAAAAATAAGGGGCCAAGTTTCGCCTCCGATGAATTCTCTGGACGAGCCCTCCAATCTTAATGAATAGAGATCGAGAAACGCTGCGAAGGTGGCACCAGGATTTAATTCGCACCCCTCCTCCCGTCCTTCTCCTGTGCCATAGTCATTCGTTTGCTTTGCTTTTTCACTTCTTTACAGAATCTGGGGGTCGCCATTCTAAACTAATGTATTGCGCTTTGAACTGATTTTTTTCCCATATTATAAGCAGCTTCGTAAAATATTTACTGTTGAATGTATCCTTTATTTTTTTAACAACACTTTTTTTGATTACTAATTAAATATTCATCGCCTCATTTTGTGCAATAACAACAAATAAATAAACAATAACATAGTGACAGGACACGATTCGTGATTTTAGCCGGCTTGAACGATAAATACGTAGAAATGTAGGGTGTAAAATAAAAATAGCGGAAAACCCCACTCTCACTTTTGTTCTTATGGAAAACACAATTTATGAAAAATACAATTCGCTTTTTTGTTGACCCTGTCGTTTTTTTCTGCTTGACTTGGTTTTTTAAAGGGAGCTTCGTGTTGGAAAAATAATTATTGAATTGACAAAAATTCAAACTCTATAACGAAAACAGCCGAGTATTATTGTTTCAGTAGGTGGAGTTCGTTCTTACACGTAGACTTATCCGGTGAAAATACGAGTTGGAGAAGCACTTCATTGTGCGCTGCGTCTTTGAAATAACAACCCTTGATCAAATTCGTTGGATAACAGCAGGTCGATAATGAAATTGTGGATGCAGAACTCACTGAAAATGAAAAGGAACCAAAGAAAACCGCCGATGAAGTCATTAACAAGTATCACTGTCTTCCCCTCAACCCTTTGCTGGCGGTACACATGTGTACCACATCCGTAGTCAAAGTCACTACCTTATTTCTGGCACTTCACTTATTAGGAGCCCGCAGAGTGTCACTCAATGTGAGCAACTTTTATTTTTCTCACAAATTAAGTTCTCTTCCAGCGTATCCTCCTCCCATTTACCTACCAGGCATAATATCGCCACG